GGATAGAAAAACAAAGTCAGGCGATTTAGTCTATTGCATGATCCTTTACGAGCTATTGTAGACTGACTTTTAATGTGCAAGACACACGGGAGACTGATATCCAGGTTAAGAGACGAAAGTCATGTATTAGACCCTGGGAAACTAAAGAGGTTTTTTATTGCATGATAAAGAAACCGTTTAAGATTAAATCAGGTGTACTAATATGGAGAATGGGTACCTAAGCGCTCTTTATAGAACTGTTAAGAGTACCAGGAGTTGGTTTTGATTCATTGATGGTTTACTATTTTTATTATTATAATTATTTTGACAAGTATTTCCGTAGTGTAACAAAAGCTGTGTGAAGCCGAAATAAAAGCAGTGTGATAAAAAGGTGTTTTAAACAGGACATTTTATAGACAGAATAGAAAAAAAAAAGCATGACTTTCATCAACAATTCTGTCTCTGCCTATTGCTTGTGAAACTAGCAATTAAATTCATTTCAATTTGACAAGTTGGCCTCACCAAAGTTCAGAGAGTTCAGGAAGAAAATAATTAGTTTTAAGTGCGTCACTAATATCCGTTGCAAAGAATTATTCCTGGGAAACTCGTAAACAACTGAGGTGGTATACGAGTTACTGATGCAGAGTTACTGATGCAGAGTTTGGACAAAAAGTAACACAATGATTTTTAATCTGGTGTTTGGAAAACTGATGAGGAAAAATTCTCTTTTATCGTATCACCCTGTCCATAATCTCCATGCCACCTACATACACTCAGTTACGACACACAATGATGGCCTTGTGCTAGGCCAAGATGTAGGAGGAAAATGACAAACAACTGGTGGTACATGGTCTGAACATGTACTGTTTAAATTTTTCTCTTTGGCAAATTATGTAAATAAGTATATTTGATTCATTGAGAGGAAGGAAAGAAAAAAAAATGCTCTCAACATGAGATCATAAACACCTCTTCTTTAAACTTATAGGTAGATTTTAGAGGTAATGAACCATTGCCTATTTGTTTCAATGTGCTAAAGTATCATGTTACCGCCAGGCTATTTTTGAAGTTGAATTTTTATCTGGGGGGTTTAAATATTGGCACGAGTTAAACACCGTCTGTGTTGTGCCGCTGTTGTTCCCCCAAGGCTGTCTGGTAGACCTGTTAGTGTGCTTTTGATTAAGAAGAGCGTGACCTGAAAAATTAGCATTCCCTTTACATTATGCAGTGTCTGGCTAACTTGGGTAGACTGGTTTGAAAATGAGCATTGCTCATTGGAGCAGGCTGCCCTCACCCCTTTAGAAAAATATCAATATGCTATGCCTCCTGGGTACAAGCTGGAGTAAAAATATAGAAAATCCACAAAAGTTTGTGTAAGTGCGTGCCCTTCATGTTGCCATATTGATACTGAGTTACCTCAGGAGAGCGCCATCTGGTGATCGTCAAAAAACCCAGCTGTCAAAACTTGTGGTTGGGTTGTACATAGTAAAGTGTTTTCTCTAGCATCATTGATGTAACAGTTAGTTCATTGATAATCTGAACTTGTAAGTTTTCATTTTGTCTGTGTTAGTGGTGGGTCTGGCAGTTCTCCTTGTCTTGAATTTGTGGAATTGAAAAGTTTCTCTCTGTATTCAAATGGTGACTTGTGTGGGGTAAAATTGATACCAGACAGCAATATTTATAATCTTTGTGTACCTTTGTGCACTTATTGGGTCTTGAAGAACAGACCTATGTTCTTTGTTTATGTGGATTTCCTGTTTGTAAAATATACCCTGCTATTTATGTGATAATAGGCTTGGAAGATTTTTCTCTGAGGCTAGAAAATTTTTCTCTAATGATTAAAGAGACAGCTCAAAAATGGGAGAAGCTCATTGTATTATCAAAGAATTATGAGGTTTAGTTTTCCTTTCTCTAGGCAGTGTCTTAACATCTATGAAATTGTATTTTCACAATCCACACCTGGCTCCCCCCATGTTTATAATGTTTTATAACTGAGGTCAGTTCAGGTGAACATAGGTGAGCTATTCTTATATTACAAGGTGACCTTTGGATTAACACTGTGTTCAATGAGATGTGTTTAATGGCAGATGAAATAAAACGAGTTGTAATGGAAAGGGCATCTCCAGTCAGAAGACTTTCATTTTTTTGTCATCTATCTCACAAGTAATATGAATCTGTACTTACTCACATGTACATACACAAGGATGTCCTCAAACTCTACATAAATGTATTGAACTTTGTTACATTTTAGTATAATGATTTAAAACATTTTCAATGATACAGTATTATTTTCTTTATATTCTGAGTGATTTAAAAATTTCAACTTTAGCAGAAATATTTATTTTTTCTGTAGTAAAAAGAGATGTGTATAACAATGTGAGGAGAAAAAAATTGAAAAATTTAACCAAAATGAACTAATTATATATGATAATAAAAATTTAACTACCAACCTAATGGACATTTTTCCCAAATGAACTAAGTAAGTGGTGTCTGACAGTACATCATGCAATTCTCATCCATATTTCAGGGGTGATCTTCAACACGGCTAAGCTGAATGCCTCCATCGTGAGCAACTACATGCTGAAGGTGAAGGCAGTGGACTGTGGAGAGAAAATGTCAGAGTCCGTCCTCGTCAACATCAAAGTGAAGCCCACCTGTAAAGTGGGATGGACAGGTAATGAGAGAGAGAGAGAGAGAAAGAGAGAAGGGGGGGTGAAGACAAAGAAACGAGATGAAAGGATGGAGAAATGACTATGTAAAATGGGTGGCTTACTCAAATCATTTTCTTATTATGAATATGTAAAAACCATGCTTTTATAATATAATTGGGCAATATAAATGATTAGGCCATTTTCTCTTTTACTGACTTAATGATGTCTAATGGGATTTTAGACTGGAAAAAAACAGCATTCAAGCATAGAACACTGTATGCATTAAACATGCATTGCAAATTTTTTAGACAAAAAAAAAAGAAAAAAAAAGCAGTCAAGCGGTAGAACACTGTATGCTTTAAACATGCATTCTAAATTATTTTCCAGGCATCAGCGACCGTATCGAATACATGCCAAACAGCGGCAGAAAGATGCTTTTCGAGAAGGCGGAATTCTCCACATGTGACATTCCGTGCAAGGAGGAGAGGCTGTCGGTGAAGGTCAAGCTGCAAACTGACCACATCGGCAAGGGGTGTGATAGAGACACATACTCTGTGAAATCACAGAGGAAATTGTGTGGTAAGTATGGCCTTGTATGGTGCCTGTAGAGGTGTTTAACCTCAAGATGAGAGAGAGAGAGAGAGAGAGAGAGAAATTACAGTACCAGGGACTGATCCAGAGATATTTTCTTACTGTCTTTCAAATTATCTTTGTTGATCTATCCTCCATTTTTGACCAGAAAAAAATTAGATACTCATCAATGAAAGCTTGAAAATATGGAAGTTCCAGAAGACGGCCTCTATCCGCCCCTGAGGACAATACATATTGTCAAGTTACTGTTGTTTGAAAGTGCGTGGTAAGATTCTCCCAACTCGACCTTCCTTTTTGCAATTACTCTGTTGCATGCTAGTCTTGGTCAGCCTATGGTGTTTACAGACCTGGCAATTGATTACTGGTCTTTTGTGACAAGTCAGGAAATTCCTGGAAATAGGATTCCACCTCTTCACTGATGACTTGCAGTTGAAGTCACAACAGGACCAATTTAGACTGAATTTTAAAATGACATCACCAGGTGATGAAATTTGTTTTTGATCCCAGGTTCAGAAAAGATGCCTAAGTATTCTGAGCATGGGGTAGTGTCATTTGGTACATTTGTGGTGGAATCAGTTCGTGTTGTGAATGGTGATGAAGCTTTGACCATCTCCAGCAAAAAAAAAAAAAAAAAACATCTTTCCAGAAACATTCCAGGAATTCTACAGTTGGTTTGTGCTTGTACACACATGCATGCACACATGCATGTGCTTGTAGATGCGTACGCGCGCGCGCACACACACACACACACACACACACATTGTAATTCAAACCATCCACCTCCTAGAGTTTGTCTTTATTTGGGTTTAGTTTACCCCATGTTCTACCTGCCCCTCCCCCCTCCCCCTCCTCCCCTTCCCTTTAACCTTAAGTAAGACAGTTGTGAATACAGGTTGGGAATTGCCACAAAAAATTTAATTATTTCTGTTTGATGTATGAACAGACAAATTCCAAGTAACAGTCAGAGGCAGGGACAGAACTTTGTGATCTATGGAATCTGCATTGATGAATGTGATAGGTTGCCTTGTGAAATTTCAGGAGAGACAGAGGTATGTGTTTTACCAGTTGTCTTGTCTAGGTCAGGTAACTTAATGAAATTTCCAGGTTTTGTCCTGCTTTTGTGTCCTTAATCGATAAGATCCAAGGTCAGGAGGAGTAAATCAATTGTAGAGTGTCTGGGTCAGATCTTCTTCCCTGAACTCGTCTTCCTTGTTGCTTGTAAGGGTTTGGTGTTTCATGACATTTCATGGTCAAACATTTACTGACTTGATAGTGGTATCTGAAATATACCATTGTCTCCCTATAGATCCTGTGCAAATATGCTACTCAAGTTTGGAATCGAAGTGAAATTGGTTTCTCTCAAAATGGTTTTAATTTGTTTTGAAAAAGTCAAATCAGCCCTGTTTTGTTTAGCAGATTCAAGTCAGTTTTGGCATTTGGTTAAATTGACGAGTGTTAGCGCCACGCCAAACTTGGTTCTTTTACATCCCCTGTCCGTCCAAGTGGTGAAGCACTGCCCCTTATCACCACAGTGTGAGAAGTTCTGGTTAGAGTACAAAGGTCAGTTGGGAGGAAATCCTGGATACTTTGATGTCCAGTGAGCACCTGTGTGGGGTGTTTAATATCCTCTTTGATCTTCTTGTCGATCTTCTTGTCAGAGTCGCGGAAGCATTAAGTGTGAATGCCACACAAGATGAGTTACCTGTCAGTATGATTGGGAGGTTTTTTTTTTTTTTTTTTTAGAAGATGGATTGTTTATAATATTAGATATGTTCAAAGATATTGGATTATTAAGTGTGATGTAGAAGGCTTTCCTGGAAGAGCAGCGATGAAAACACCTGCTTGGATACTGTGCTTTTAAGCTTGTCTTCTTGATTCTTTTTCTGGGAATGTGTCCAGATAATCTTGGAAGATTTTTTTCACCTGCTATGTTTTCTTGGAATGTCCCCAGTTTCTGTTGTTGATGGACTGGATGCCGTATTCTTGTTTTCTAATTAAATGTTGCATAGAATTGCATTCTTGGGTATTCAGTTGCACAACAATGAAAAAAACCATGAAATTTCTTGGAAAGGAAACTCTATTAATTTGTTGACGCTGTTGGGAAAGGTCAGGTTTTTAATTTTAACTTGGTCCTATTTAGTTCACTTAAGATATTGCCTGGGTGAAAAAAAATGATAAAGGATGTTGACTTCAAAGACAGGGTTCCTTGAATGAAAGTCTTCTGAGAAATTTGGAAGCTTGACCTTAATATGGACAATGGGATTTGTGTTCTAAGAAAAAAAAAAAATATGTGGTGTTCCTAAGAAAAGATTTCACCAACTGGGTGTTTCTTTTTCAGCAGTTGTCTACACTGATTAAAAAATTGTGAAAGAAAACTTTTTCATTAAGTAACAGTGAGTTGTTTTTGTTTTGCTGCAGGGTGAACTTGGAATATATTGTCATCTGTGTCACAACCAGGCTTTGGAAAAATTTATTCCTGGTCACCTATTGACATGCTTAGTGCATTTAGATAGAATCATAATTTTGAGTGAAAAAAAGAAAGTTTTATCTTATTGTTTACTTATTTTAATTGAAAAAATAAAAAAAGTATCACCATTAGAAAGTATTTGGATGGAGATTTAGTTTCTCTGATCTTCCCTTTTCAGCCAGGGCTAACTGTTACTCATAACACATGAATTTCTGGGCCTAGATTACTTAATAATCCTTTTACTTTTGCCTTCCTCTTCCAAGGTGCAAACACCAATGCTGTGGACCTTCTGCCCCCTGCCTCCATGGGCGAGTCTTGGACCAAGAACCTCCCGACAGACGACGGCAACGAAGGAGACCAGATCAATGCTTTCGATGGTGCCACTAATGCCGCCGAGGTACCCAGCGGCAAGTTCAACCACACGCTGAGTGAGCACTTCACCATTATGACGTGGATGAAACATCAGAGGAATCCTCTGGAAAGTGGCATCAAGGAGCACATCTTGTGTAACAGTGATGGGGAAAGTAAGTACACGGGGCACTTGTGGTGTATTGTTGGATGTAAAGAGCTGATATGGAATTGATTTAGTTATGTTTTAAGAAGACTAAGGGGTTGAAATCTCCACTGGGATATTTTGTGTTGATTTTATGATTAACAGTTATTTTTGGAAATGTGTAATTTCAGTTTGCTTGTTATTGTTTTAAAGAATTTAGAAATAAAGAACCATGATTACCAGGACCCCTCTGATAAAATGCAGAGAGGCCTTTTGCAGGCTTCTCTTCAAATGCGCACACGGGTATGCATGCATGTGCGCGCACACACCAACACATACAACAACAACTTTACTCATAATTAAGGAAACAATTTAGATGTAGGCTGATTTAAAACTGTACTTAACAAAAATTTGAAGGAATAAGCCCAAAAAAAAAAAAAAAAAAATCCAAAACTGTATAAGTACTTTTCAAATTAAAAGGGCTTCTCCATCATGTCAGCTAAAAGAAGTCGGGTGTACTTAAAAAACAACTGCTTCTGAGAGAACTGCCTCTCATGGACCTCTGTCTGTATTCCATAGGTGTCCTTTCTGCATCTCATTCAGTACAATACAACATTCCCTCTCATGGCTTTTTTCAGTCGATTACACCTCACCATCGGAAGGTACGTTCTGGTCTGAGTGCAGATTGCATTGCCCGGTCACAGCGTTAACCCTTCAATAGTTCATTACCCTAACCCATGCCTTTTAGTCTCAGCATGTGTTTGAGACTCTAATGCCTGTGTGCTGTCTTGACGTCGAGCTTTGGCAGAAGCTTTGAGTTGTCAAACCTGGGCACTAAAATATGGAGAATTGATTTGAGAGGAACTATTTTGATGAAGTGCCCAGTTTAGACTGTCACAAGTTGGGATATAGAAAGTGTGGAAATTACAAAATGGCGTAGCCTCTGCAGGGAAAGAAAATCAATTACAGCATGAATTGAATTAAGATGTGAAAGTATGACCTAAAAGAAAAAAAATGTTTAATTTGAGGTCATGTACTTCAAAAGAATGGTGACTGTAGCATGAAGTAACGTTTGGTTTTGTAACATGAGAAGCTAGAAGCTGAGCATGCTTTGAAGAGAGGTTTTGACAGCACGGCAGAAAGTCTGACAGCATGGTTTGAGGTTAGGATGAAGATTTGTTAAACACATTATGTGAGCATGAGTTGATTTCACAAGAGAATACTGACAGAAAAAGCATGACTGCAGTAGGTCTGAAGCATTGTTAATGCAACAGGAGTGAGTCCAAGGTTAAAGCTTGCACACTAGCGACATCTGGTAGCACAAATTAGAGTAAAGACAAGCATGATTTTAGGCAGTGAAAAAGTGGATGCCTGCTTGAGGCCTCATAAAGCATCACTTCTTACTGAAAGAAAAATACCACTCTCACTGTTTTTTTGGATTTGGTGTAAATGTAATTAAATTAGTTGATGATGAAGGTCCATTTTTAAAAGCTTTCTTTTATATTACTTCTCACAGGGAGAAAAGCGAACAAGGCCACGAAGGCACCTCTTGGTTATAGTCTGCAGTGTTGTGCTCGTTTAATCCTTCAGTGAAAGTAATGTAAAAAGCTTGTGAAACTCAATAAATTTTACCAGTTTCTCTAGCACAATAATTTAAAGCTTGAAACAGTTTGGGATCAAAATGACCCCCTTCCTAAGTAAAAAAAAGTTTTTGAGAATATCCTGTTATCTTACAGCACTGACAAAAATATTTTCATCTCCACTTTTTTTTTCCAGACATGAACCGCCACCATTACGCCCTGTACTTACACAACTGCAAGCTGGTGCTTCTTCTCCGCAAGGAGGCAGGCAACGACCTGAACAAGTTCAGTCCAGCTGAGTGGCGCTGGAACCTTCCAGAAGTCTGCGATGGAAACTGGCATCACTACGCCATTAGTATCGATTTCCCACAGGTAGGTGGCAATAGTAGTCTTGATGGGAGCCAATTTTGACCACATTACAGTGTTCAAATGGTGAATCAAATGGTGAATTATATGACACTTATTATTTTTTCGCAGTGGCATTATGTTGAATTATGTCTGTAAGACCGTGTTCCTTGAAAGTGCAGAGGCATTTGATAGATTAGACTGACAGTTCCTGACCCTGATTTATATTAAAGTTAAGTATAGATTTTGATGCATTTAGAATAACAAACATTACCCATGACTTTCACATGTTCCAGGTCCGTCTGTATGTGGATGGTAACATGTTTGTGGCTACCCATGAGAACTCTGAGGTCATTGAAGACTGGCCCCTACACCCAACACACATCCATTTTACTAGACTGGTCATTGGAGCTTGTTACCAAGGTAAGGCACATAAAATTTTTGTCAGATGAACACTCATTACTGGGGCAATGCATAGTGTTAATGTTGGGATGTGTATTTGGCTTACGTCTTGTAAAAGGTGGTGAAGGAAAAATAATTTAGTACACGGTTGGTGGTGCAAAGACAGACGGCACTGGAAGTCTCATGTGATGCCTGATATTTGCCACATCTCACAGAGAGGATTAACTTTAAAAAATGAATGTATTTTAGTTTAATTGTTTAGTGTATGTGAAGAAACTGAAAAATCCATCTAAAAGAATCTTACATAAATAAAAAAAGAAAAATGACAAAAAAAAAAAAAAATGAACAGTTACAAATCAGAGAGCAATTGCCAAACTTGAACCTTTCAGCGGGCAAACACAAGCTAGGCCAGTTTTTCAAGGGCTACCTGGCCCACTTGTCCATCCTGAGGGGAGAGACCGAGAAAGACAATGTGATCAAGTGCATGAACAACTGCCAAGAGAAGCTGGAGTTCCACGCCATGGACCAGGTTAATACTGGAATGGTGAGTAGGCTTGTCTTGAAGTGACATCTATAGATGGGGTTGAGATTAATAAGTGGGTGTGTGTCATAGTGACATCTAAGGGCATTTCCCAGAGCTTTTAGATCGATCTATCCCTGCGGGGAGTCTCACTAGATTACTGTCAGATAATCTGGCTGAAATGTCCGTCCCGCCTACTACAAGCTGTAAGGGGGTAATTAACTTTCGTGCCCGCTTGGCTGACAGCTATTTAGAGTGAACCCCCAGGGAGTTAGGTCGATCTAAAGTAGATCGATCTAATCTCTGGGAATGGGGTCTAAGGATGGGTTTAGGGAGCAGTTGTTTGCTAAATAGCACCTTTTTGGACACAGAATTTCAATGTTTCATAAAATTCTGGGTCTGTCATAAACAATTCATAATGTTAAATATACAGTTAATCTTTTTCTTTTGTTTTATTTATTTATTCATTCATGTTTTTTTTTCAGTCTATCTCCTTCAACAGTGAGATGTCTGAGATCACAGTCACAGGTCACGACAGCGAGGAGGTAGATACGGTTGTCAGGCAGATTGGCTATGTCAACGCCAGAGCTTTCCCCACAGTGGGCAGGCGTAACCTGGAGATCACCTCCAGCGTCAGGTACTGAGAACTGAGAACTTTATTTACGCGGTGTAACTACAGTGATGATAGTTCTGGAATAATAATAGAGTAATGATCTTGAGAGTAATATGGATCGTGTCTATTATTAATGCTATCCTCAGCTTTTGAGGCTAAATATATAAGTTTAGTCACATGGTGATGTAAAAAAATGAAAATACTTATATTATAATAATAATAATAATAATAATCTTTATGATAATAATGAATATGCCTATTGTTCCTATCCTCCTCAGCTGTTCAAGCTACAAGAAGATCAACATCCCCTCTGTCCAGACTTACATCATGGTGGTGGAGACAGAAAGCCCCACAATCACCATCAGCGGCACTGGTCACCTCATCAGACCCATGACTGACCTGGCTGAGGGGGTGGCCATTTTCCAGGGTCTCTCTATCGTCAGTAAGGCAGAGGACGGAGAGGATGAGAATGAGGTTCACGAGCACCCTAAGCTGATGGAACGTAAGTGGGGCTCTGGTGTTGCAATTTTTGTAATTTTTTGTCTTCTTTGGAGTTTGTTTAATTTGCATCATTGTTTTACGTAATTTTTGCGTTCTTTAAGACTGAATCAAGGTTTTTGTAGACGTAGGACCAATAAAGACCAGAAATCCACTAGACTGATGTGTTTGGTGCTCAGTCATCAAAAATCTTAAAGTAAATTTTGAACAATGGCATTGAGCTGCAGACAGAAAAGAAAACAAAGTTAACGTAAAGATAAGTGAGCAAAGCATTTAGCCAGCCAATTGACCATCAATCAAGATAATTTCTGTCTGTTTGCTGTAGAAGACACCAAACCCACCGGTGCCATGGTGAACCTGGATATGTGCACCATCACAGCCAATCCACCACTAGATGTCAGCACTGAGAGTCTCACTCTGCCAGCCAATCAAATCCAACATCTGCAGCTGGAGCACAAGATGGATGCCAACTCTGTGGTAATTTCTGGTAAGTTTTCATTTATTTATTTATTTATTTATTTATTTATTTATTTTGCCTTCTTCCGTCTTCTGTTTTGGAATTAAAAATTTATGATTCTTGAACTGTTTTTGTAGACATCAAATGGTTGGTGGAAGGTATCTGAGTATGAAGCAGTGGATTTAGGCAGTTTTGAACTGAATGTGATTTTGTAAAGAATGAAGCTGGGATGTCATTATGACAGTGCATAGGAAGGATTTTTAACAAGTAAGGCTAGTAATGATTTTCAAAATTGTTTATAGGCGCAGACCTGATTTCCAACTACCAGGCAATTCTTCATGGTGTGAAGTACGCAAACTCTGGCAGCAGCATGCGACCACGTGCTTTTGTTGTGCAGTGTTCTGAGATGAACGGCAGATTTGTCAGCAATAAGTTCAAAGTACAGGTATGTAATTATACAATGTGAATCATGGGGAAATGAAAAAAATATTTTTTCAAAAAGACTTCATAAAAAGGCATGCTCAAGCACTTGCCACCTACAGGAATGATTATCTCCGCCAAGAAGGTTGTTTTCACCCTTGTTTGTTTGTTTGTCTGTCATCAACATAACTCAAAAAGTTATGGACCGATTTTGATGAAATTTCCAGGAACTGGACCGATTTTGATGAAATTTTCAGGAACTGTCAGAAGTGGGCCAAGGAAGAGATTATTAGGTTTTGGTGGTGATCCAGATCAGTAATCAATCAATAATCAATAATAATAAAAAATCACTACCTTGGCAGAGGTCTGCTCTCTCAGAGTGCTTTTCTCGTTTGATATCCATTGGTGTGGGGAACCCGTTTAATGTTACTGGCATGAATGAAATTAGATTTGTAGATAATTCACAGAAGAATTTTAAAAAAATTGTGAAATTGGATAACTGTTAAGAATAAACAATATCATTAGATAGTTCACTCAGATTTGCACTGAATCCTCTTCAGATTGAAGGCAGCCACAAACAGCAGGCTGTGGTTCATGAGAACCAGGCCCATGCCATGAGTGACAAGGTTTATGCCCATCACAACAGCATTCAGGACTCCAAGGGTAGAGACATGAACCTGGAGGAGAGAACCAACACAGTTGCCAGTGTCTCTGGGCATGCCAGTAAGTCAAAAGAAAGATTTATTAAGAAATAAAGTGATTTTGTTTTTAGGCTGGTTAAAAGGAGGAAAGTCTTTGGGTGTTTGAGACCAATATGTTGCACTCAACTTAGAGATTTCAACTTTTGGCCCACCTCAATTGAAGATGAATATAGATAGCTGTTGTCCACAGAAAAGAGGTCACATTTTTTTAACATTCTTCAAATGTCATTTGTCATGGATAAGCATTCAGGATAGACTTTTTATACACATTTTATTCCTGTATTGAAAACATTGTGCTGACAGAACTGTATTGATTTTGCAGATGCAGGGATCGTGGTCATCATCGTGATCTGCGTTGGGTTCCTGATGTTCATGATTGTGTTAGGTGTGATCAGGATCAGAGCACAGCACAACCAGCACAATGTGGTGAAAGTGGAGGAGAACCCAGAGATGGAGTGGGACAACTCTGCCCTCAGTATCACCGTGAACCCCATGGAGAGTGAGGTGAGGAACCATATCTCTCTCTCTCTCTCTCTCTCTCTCTCTCTCCAATATTTATGTGGTTTCTTAGTTCATTCACCCACATACATATTTTTGCCTATTAGATACCTTTTTGCATCAAGTTTCTATATTCATTATTAAAAGTATTTAAAAAATACAACTTGAAAATGTTTTATTTGGATTTGCAGGGTTTAGACTTTGAAGATGACCATGTGATGGTCCACGGTAACCAGGGAGAAGACAGCGATAGCGATGACGATATTAGCAGCTACCACGACGAGCTGGAGAGCTCTGAAGACGAGTCTGAAAAAGTAAAAGATCGTGAACTTGAGTGGGACGACTCCACACTCACATTTTGAACAAAGACCATTATATTGTGATTTTCGAAGAAGAACCAAAAAAAAAACAAACATTTTGATGAAAGAAATTAGATTGAATGGTGATTTATTTAAGACACTAAGAACTCAAATGAAAAAAAAAAGTCACCGGGAGGAGAAAGTAAATGAAGCATTTTTGACATATTTTTGATTTGCTTGATATTTCTTCTAGATTGCACATTTCGAATCAAATTTGAAGCTTTTTTTGAGAAATTCTGATATAGGAGACCATCTTGTCAGATAGGCTTATATCAAGCACTAAGAGACCAATTCAAGTGTCTATCAGTACTATATCATTCGTGCACATAAGTAATAATCTGTATGTATATTTTTTTCTGTCAGGTGCTTATATAAGTGTTATTACTAAAACTGATTATGATTGAATTTAATTTCTCAAAGTACACATATTCATGCTTGATTGTTTTGTTAGTGTCCAAAAGGTGGGGTGTGCCAATGGATAGGATATTTCTAGGTCACTGGAGGTGTCAGCCTCGTTCTGAGTGTAAGGTCAAGGTCACAATGAACTGCACCATAGGTGGCACTATTTTCAGCCTGCCTCTTTACTTGAGACATGACATAGTGAGCATCAGATATTGTAATGTTAATGCGTATGCATAGCAGCTTTATAGTAATGGCTGTACAAAGTCGATGTTACCCACTTGACAGGGGTGAAGCTGTCAAGATGTTCTTATCCAATGGTTACGCATCTAGTTGAAAAAGTTTCTGATGAGAGGGGAAACAGGTAATGTTTGGGTTTTTAAAGAATAACACTGAATAAGCATACCTTGACAGCCACACAACCTATTAGCAAGTGGGATGTGTTGATTTTGTATAGCCCTCTTTTGGGTGAAATTTCCCTGTGTTCAAAGAAGAGATTAGATGGCCAGCATGAAGTTGGAGAGAAGAAAGAACGCCACTGAAGCAAGACATTCCAGGGAGGAAAACAAATATTCTCCACATTGTTTTCTGGGGGATTTGGAAAGGTCCTGTGAAATTGTCTTTGGATTTTGAAGTCTTATAACAGGAAAACTATTGATTTATATATTGCGTTTAGGTTCTAAATTTCCCAAAATTTGGAATGGGACCGTTAAATGATAATTGCGTTGTTAAAATCGCCTTTTTTAAAATTCATTTACAAGGGTTGCCCAAGAGGCCGAAACAAGTTGAACCAATTTTAATTTTATTTATTTTATTTTATTATTATTATTTTTTTTTTTTAGCAAATAGAAAACTTTCAGTACGAAATTATATTTGAACATAAAGCAATTACATCCTGTGCCTTGGAATAGACCTCTGTGGCTGAGTACGTCAGTGATGATCATGTGTGTACAAATGTTGGCATTTTGTAAATAAATCCAGAATGTTATGAACTGTGTATCTAATAGAATTGGATGTTTGAACAACAACAACAAAAGAAAAAAATATAGATCATGTGTAGAACATTTAAGTGATAATTTTAATCATGTGAGTGTAAATAGGCTGCTTTAGTAGAAACCAACCCTTTCTTTGATAATTGGCAATATTTAAACTAATTAAATTGTATGATTCAGTTAAATGTAGTAAATTGTCTGTGGCTTGTGAAGAGCATCCCACCTAATTTGGCTTCAGCATAGCAAATATGACAGTGTCTATGGCAACATGTTGCCATGGCATTGTGTTGTCAGGGTGACTGGTGTCGACTACTTTCCTAGGCAAGTGTATACAAGTAAAAATGCTTTGGCTTTAAGTTCCACTTTAATTGCCATTTTATATCATATGATATACATATATAATTGATATTTTAACTTTCACAAATATGATGGTAAGATATCACAAAATGTTGCATTTAGTATCTTATTGTTATTATGTACACTTTATTTTTAAAAAACTGTGATTTTTGAGGAGGTCGTCATTCATTGTTTTACCTCAGATAGGAACAAATAGAGCCTGTCTATTTACAATGCACAATTTCTGGTTCTTTACCCCAAAAACAGAATTGGAACATAATCATAGGAAGAAATTGAACATTTTACAACGAATGATAGATAACGAACTTGCCAGAAATTGCCTCAGATAATTGTGGTTTGCAACAGATATGGTTATTTATTCTGATGAACCTATTTTTGATTACTAGAGACGAGGAGTAAACTCTGAATGATTGCCAGGGAATGAGGAAAATTGAGACAGTGGAATTTGGTGTAAGATACCACGCAGATGAAATTGGGGAAGACGGCAGTGGATGGCTTAAAAACTGAAATGACAACATTCTGCTTGAAAGTGAAGTTATTGAGAAGCGTTTAAGACTACATTGTGTGAGAGGGTAACAAACTACATGTGTAAGAACAAACAAAAAAAATCTGTCAGAACTTTTTTACCATGAGATTCAAAAAGTTTGTGTTCAAATTTTTTCAAGACCACGAATTCCTGTGAGTTTGGATTGTATGATGTAATTCGATCCGGTTTTCCTCATTCCATGCCGAGTTTTATTGTTCACCGTTGTAGTCGTGTATGTAGAGATCAGTTTCACTGTTTTGTCTTCCCAGACGAATAAACAGAACTCACAGGGGAGTCTTGTGTTCTTGTTGTTGCCTATATTAGAATAATATTTTGTATATAATATTTGAATTTACTACGGCGTCGTTTTGCTGCCGTCGTTTCAATTTTAGCCTGTTGCTTCTATTCTATTTTATTCTGCTCATTTACGAATTACTGGCCAACGCTCGTTGCAAGTTTTTAAGAGGGGTGAGATTTAGAATTTTGTTGCAAAAAAAAAAAAAAAAAAAAAAAAAAAAAATCGAGTTTCCTTGGGGTCCCCGACTACTGTCTAGGATATAACGGTTATATTTTATCGAGATCTAAACCGCAGAAGTGCGAGTGGAAGCGGCTTTTATAATTACAGCCTCCGTGATCTTCCAAAAGTCTGTTTATATGTTATGGATACAGCTATATTTATTTCTATACTGTAATGAACCATGTTAGTGAAAAGATGTGTCCTCAGTAGCACACCATCCACAATAAGATTCGACTACAGTGCCCTTTATCCTTTAGTCCTACGTACTCCTACCCTTCATCTAAGGACACTAATAGCGTTCGTCTATGGATAAGATGAAATCGATAGTAAAAATCATAGCCACAGGGGAAACAACGGAAGCGCATGTTTTGACTTTTGGAAATATCTATTTTATACTCACTTTATACAACCTGACACACACAGGAGCGGTAACCCCTCCATTAAGGGCAAGCAAATAATACCCCAACCTTTATTAGCCCCAGTCAAATAGAGAGGTTTATAAATGTGCACTTTTACTTTTAAACAGTAGGAGAAGGGTATTGCTGTATGGAAACGTGGTCATAATCCGCCGCATAAATATCTCAGAATTTCTTTAGAGAAATTAACAAATTTGCGATGAGAAATAATCAGCAAGACGACATTTCTGATTACCCTGACGCCACTACAGGTATTTATTTAATGCGACCTCTGAACTGCCAAACTTTGCTTTAACACAAAAACAAATTTAGAACGGTAGAAAAGTCATGATATACAGACCTTTCTGGATAGCATAATGGATCTTCACAGAGTTTTATATTTATCCGAAGTTTATTTTACTGCGTCTAGCAAATGCCAATTGCCTCTTATAAGTGAGAAAGGGTATATATATAGCGATGTCTTGTAAATATGCGTATACGTTCGCGTGGACGAAAATGTAAAAAAAAAAAAAAAAAAAAAAAAGACTAACCCTTGTTATATGAAAGTATTAAAAATTGCAGTCTTGTCTGTAAGTAATATATGTATATTTATATATAGTTACTGTTTGTAATTATTTTCATTTCAGATGTTTATGTAAATTAAGCGATCTTCGTAGCATACTTATATCCGATGGAGAATTTGCTATGCTCGCTTTGATTATTAACAATGGTATTTTTAATTTTCACTGAAATAAATAGTACAACTAATATACGACTACTACTACAACAAGGGTGCTGAATGATAAAGATTTTGCTGAAGTTTCACAGCGTAGAGTAGGCACCAGATGCTTTCGCAATAAAACCGTTTAGTCTCAGAGTGATTTGGCTGAAAAAGGTGCTCGACATGCACTAAATGTTCTGTCATTTGTCACACGAAGATAGTCATAATGGTATTGAGGGCATCTATATCGACTGTGCTTGAAAGCAACGTTGATGGAATCAGTTGATGAACTGCACGCGTAAAGCAGTAACGAGAATCCCGAAAAAGCAATGAAACAAATAATGAGATTGACTACACAAAATGACACCAGCCTCCATAGAGAGCAATCATAATAGTCGTGTATTTATATTACCGCATAATTGCTTTGGAAGATATAAAAATGCTGGGACTCAATTAATCGGAACAATGAGGTAGGATCGTGTTTCAGTGAACATATGTGCCTTAATGCCATTAACCTGCGGTTGAATTATGATTTCGTGCAATTAATAAATGCATGGCGTTTTTATTTGATATTAGCACAGAATAGGAAAATTGGAATCAGAGTAGTTTTCTATTCATTGCGACCGAATGGCATCCTCTCCCGAGGTACTGATGCTTTTGCTATCCAAACGTTGGTCTCGGTTTCAGCGGCGGGTTTTGTCAGCGATAGTTTCTAAATTACATCGACTGCGAGGCACTTGCAGATGAGCGCTAATGGTACCTCAGATTTTTCAGACAGCGGTAAGAGCAATGAAAACAAAAGTCTTTATCTCCCGGACGTAGACGTTTGGGAGCTTTGATATATCACAAAGGTGATATCAAAGCGGTATTGCAATCAAGCGGGTAATTCTTGTACTTAGAACAAAAAGGTTTTTAATTATTTTTAAAGCAACCAGGGAATAGACCTAGCAGCACAACATTAATACATTAAATATTTATGATAATACATGATAATATATAATTTTTTAATGAAAATCGCCAAGAGCGCATCCTTAGCAACACGATACAGACGTATGATAATATTCAGTTGCCGCGCGCAATGAGATAACTATGTGACGCTCCAGCAAGGAACGAGTGGACTTCTGGATCCGTCTCTCAAAGAGAAAGAAACCGGGACGCCTTTTCGGTTTTGGCAGAAGACAGTTAAAGACAGAACCAGAACTCGCGGATATGGTTGGAAATTGTATATGGTAGGAAGAGTAAATCACATTCAGTGTGGTATTCTTCGCTTATAATTTGCTGGTTTCCTTGAAATCGATGATCCCGGTTGTTTCAAAGGCCATTTAGGGGGTCGATTGTTCAAATGTTTGATAGTAATAAGATAAGGGAATATATATTAAAAGAGACGAAAACTAAAAAAAATCAATTTTGGATTTGAGGGGGAAAGGAAGCATTCACAACAAATTTGTTCTGTGGACTAACTAGTCCGCCTATGAAATATGGCGCGCACTTGACAATGGATTCTCGCCTCCCACGCGCACCGTCCAAGCGGAGGCAGAGCAATTAAATCTCGGCACGCTGTCAAGTGGGTCGCGCCATATTTGATCCGAGGATCAAATTGTTCTGAATGCCCCCATAGTGTGACATATTGATACGCTCTCAGTAACTGCAAACTTTATACTTTAAAGAATATATGTTACGACCATCCAGCTCAGAGTTTTTCAAAATGAATTTTCACGCACTAGGGTACTTGTGTTAAGTTTTTCACTTTTTCACAGGGGTGGACAACAGTATTCCAGTTCCATTACATGCGTCACTTTTGATTATTATAGGCAACTTGAAAGCGACAAGACGTCCAAGGAAACATTTCATTTTCTGGGACAGGGTGGGCATAGCTTCTAGATATACTTCAATAAATTCAATCCCGCCTGTAATATAAAAGCCAGAACAGAACACGGAAACGTATTTCCTAAATATTGATCCCTGATGGTGAGAGTGTGGGATTGTTCAACAATCCGTCTCTTTCTCCATTGATTAGGTGAAGTTATCTGTACAGCGTGTTAGCTATCGCTAAACCTGTTGCCCTCCAGATACGATGGCTTGGGTTTCCCATAGATCGCATTCAGAACAGCGGACTAACAGATCCGCTGATCAAATATGGCGACTCGCTTAAAATCTTGCCGCTTAATTCCCGATTAGACGCTAAATAGATTCCCTGTGGGGATTACGCAACAAGTTTTCAAGTTGGTCAGCCATATTTGATCCCCGGATCTGTTAGTCCGCTGTTCTGAATGCGCTTTAATAATAACACATTAGCTTGATTAGTGATAGGACGTTCTTGATGTATATCGGCGTTGGAAAGATATTAAGAGTATCGCACTTATATCATACTTTATCTTAATATAGTGGGTTACCTGAACTGATTATTCGCCTAACGGTTCTGGGGACGTGTTTGTGATTGGTGCAGTATACGATAATATTGCTCAGCAGGGTGTTTTGTTATTTGTTTGATAGGCCTAAGACTCAAATTATTCCAGATTCAAAGGCAAAATAAGGCTTTCTTTTCTATATTTTAAAAAATCTTTTATGCGGTATTTGTAGTCCTTTGAGGTGGTATCGTTTTGGAGATAAATTATGTGAAGGGAAAATTTCCCCCATCTCCGTCTAATATACGCACTCACGCACGCACGTACCCACCCCCTCATGCACAGACATACCTATTTGTGACTCTTAATCTCATCAAGAATGTCTCTGTTTTGACGGTTAATAAATGTGCACCCTTCTTTCCTTATAATTACAAACATTTTCTTTCTGAAACTAAGTTATCCATTTTTAAATGAACTTCTTGCATAGGTAAATTTACTTGGAATGTCAAAGTATTTGCTTTTTCCAAATTCTTCTTTAGAGCAACGACCAAAGAATTCAATTTACTCCCGACGAAGTCATATAGCTACTCCCTATAGAGACCCTGTCATTTCTACTAATGCAATATAAGCCATATCGATATGGAATCTTGATAAAATGTACCTCTGATAAGGTATGAAATAAGTGAGAGGAGTCCGTGGATACATGCAGTACAGGCGGGCACTTTTGCCCCTTCCCCCACCCACCCCCACCTTCCCACCCCCACTTGCATTTTCCCTCTTGCTTGTTAATGTTATACTGGATTTATTAGTGGTGGAAAGGGGGTAATTCTTTTAGGAATGTCCAATTCAACAGAATACAGTCCATTGTTTGGCATTGGTGTTTGGTATCAATATTTTTTTTATGATTTTTTGAAAGAATCACTAATTGAAACATGTGAAAACTAGTTGTAACATGAGGAAACAAAAATGCTTTTAAAAACATATGGTTTTATAGAATCTCTCTCTCCCCACCACTCTCTCTCTCATTCTCTCCACGGTAACGAAACATTTGCAAAGCTAACATGCCAAACGAATCAATCAAATGAACTGCCTCAGTCTGTAAATGTATCAAGTCTTATCGAACGTCAATTCGCACAATACTAAATCAAATAGAACTAATCCAAATAATGTAAAGCGGCGATAAGCTCTTGTGAGTTAGTCTCTTGACGTAATGACTTTTAAGCCACCTTCCTACCAAGTTCAGATGGATCGCAAGTGCGCGATCGAGAGGACGCCGGCTATGTTTCCGATTTACTTTGAAATAGCGTGTGCTTTTTCCCCCCTACCGCACTCCAAGGATCCAACTCAATAAGTATGTCCACTCTGAGCGACATGCAGAGGGGAACACCGGCCCGAGTGCAATTAAAAAATCTCGACGCCATAAAGATTGATCAAGATACGCTCTATTTGAAGCTGGTGTGAATTCGGCCTTCAATATTCATTATTTACAACATTTCAAATCGTTGCGACGCTTTCAAGATAAGGTGTTAGTTTCAGGGAGTTAAAAATAAACCCGCGGCCTAAGAGGCACACAGTGGATTGGGTTGTCGTCAGTTTTATTCCGAACCTGCCGGAGAAATGTAGAAAGGTGTAAACTCAGGTGAAAAAAAGGGGCTCCAACCATCAAACAGGTGCCAATGTGTAGATTGGAGCGGATTACTAACTAAGATATAATGGAGTTGCTCCCAGTCTTCTTTTATGGTGTTTTCTTGTATTAATTATTTGAAATACGTGTTGTTTTGGAGTTTCACTAGGAAGGACGAATGCGTACGTTCATTATGAGCTTGGAGAAGCTAGTGATCAAAACAGTTAGGCCTTCTAAGGTATGTTTAATCTTAATATATTTTCAATCACGCGGGGCATTTTTTCCAGATATTTCTGACTTATAATATAATTTCGCCATTATTTCATCTGTTTCTGTAAATAATTCGATGTAAAACTTTTTCTTTGATATTTCATTTCACGTGAATGCCATGAAGTCTTCAATACAATACGATAGTTAAGTTTCAAATGTATTTTTATAGCAATTTATCAGTTCAGTGACGCACTGACTGGAGGTCGTTTTCTGTATAAAAGCACCTTAACAAAATAAAAGAGCGTGAGATAGAGAGATCAAATAGATTTAATTAAGAAGATTTCTTAACCTTCGACAAGTTTAGAAAACTTTCCAGACATCAAGTTGTGTAGTTACAAACGTTATTAGATATGCCCTATACTAATAGGCGGTTTCAGGAATGTATAACCGTTAAACCGAAATCTCTAGAATCAGCCTGGAAAATGCCCGCAAAAGGCAATTTATTACGAGGTGTGAGGATCGCATTCGGAGCCTGTGAAATCCAAAATATGTTATGTTTCCGTAGATCTGTGATTATGTTTTTTGTTGTATTCATAATAGACAAGAAATCATATTAACACATCCTTGGTACTTTCTGTCCCCATTTTCCCTTCTTTCTCCCATGACCACTTTGTTAAAATGGCAGTTTTTAAACACTTTGTTACAGGGGCAAAAATGGGTGCAGTTTGTTTTTTGAGAGATAAACAAAAGCTTTCCAAAGAGAAGAAGGACGATTGCAGACAATCAAAATCTCCTGTCTTTTCACTGACTTATAGACTTATAGGCCTACCCCAGACGTGCTGGATGGTACATTTTCCAATGATATCACTGATGAATATTTTCTATTTTTTTTTTCAGAGCTTCAAGCAAAACTAATCTACCTAATCGACAGCAAAGACGAGCATCCGCTCATCGAAACGGCGAGCATCAGATTGCCTGGATTCTTATCAGGAAAACGACAACAGCTAAATAAGGAACTGGTCTTACAAAAATAAAAGCAAGCGTTTTCTTTAATGAGCGCTGGAACACTTTTAAGGCCACTTTGATTAGACTATATGTTTAAAAAAGAAGCAGACTTTGTTAAATATAGGCCTATAGGATATCACTCACGGCGCTATGCCGCAGATCACGAACAGAAAATTGGTCCGAGACACAAACAACTGTCCAATCGGAAAGGGATCTGTATTCAATTCAGTTCTAGACATCAGTTTCGCTGCTCGGAGACGCGCCGAAAAACTAAACGAAGGCGAGGCGGAAAAATTCAAAATGGTGAACAAAGTGATGGAGAAATATCAACATTCACAAGAAGTAATAAACAACAGGGCTATCGAAAGAATTAATAAGTCTTTAAGAGAAATGGAGGCATACAAGCGCGTTCTTCAGTCGGACTACAGAGCGAACCACTTTGATACGCTGAAACTCGGATATAAGCCAGGACAATCGAAGACTCCCGAAAACGCACGGAAAGTCAAATACGAAACGCGGGTATACAACTCGGGATTTTCTCTGAGAAATTTCAGGCCCGAGGTTGAGCGAAAGTTAAAAGAGATGGACCCAGAAGAACAAGCGAGCAAATTCAAGCAAAAACTTTTGGAAAAGTTTCGCAGACAAAGTGAGGTTTCTTGTGACAACTGCAGGCGGCTCTCTGTTGCATCCGACGGAAATTTCCGAAGTCGGCGCGTAAGCTCATTGCCGTCAATCTTCGGAGCTGAACGACAGCCGCCGATAAGACCCGACTGCCTGGACGCCATAGAAACTGTACAAAACCTTAACAACCCAGACAGGAATCCACTAGTCACTCAGATGAAACCTGACACGTGACAGGGTTATATGAACATATTTTTCAAATTGGTTAACTTGTAAATCAGGTGTCAAAAGTTTAGATGTGGTTGCTCCGTTATATAACACAAGCACTGACAACGAAAAAAAAAAAGCTTTTTACTCGATAAAAGACAACAAGCACAAATAATTATTTTTAACCAAAATTCCTTTAAGTGAATTATCTCCTGTCGCGTTATTTACCGAGTCGCAATCTTGGCTCTTGCTCCTAAGCCTCTAGCACTTGAGTTACCAGGGCATTCACACGCTCTTATGAAATGATGCGTATCAGAATGGGCCCTCTATTGAACACGGGGCCAATACAATCATTGGTGTTAATTAAACGATGTGTATTCCGTTCATTTCTTATTTCCCTTCCTTTGTCTTCTCGTCTTTAATGACGGGTTTGGATCATTTCGTGGTCGCATTTTCGAAAGGTTGTAAGTTACAAATTATTGTAAATTTTCACATAAGTCCGATTGTTAACATAAGTTGGTGTTCTCGAAGGTATGTAAGTAGCAAACTCTTGTAAATATGCAACTAATTTACAACTGCTAGATTTATGTTGTCATCTCCGAACGATATTGAAGGGCTTGTGCCCGAATTTTGTACCGATTTAAATCGTGTTTCCGCTTAAATTGGGTGACCCAAACTCGGCACAAAATGTGTAGGCCCTATAGTGTGTACGGCTCGGTGCGATCCAACTAGAAAACCAACATCGTTTACTGCTAAAATGGGTGGTGCAGAGCTGGGTAGGCTGGACTTTATTGAACGCACGAGTTTTAAGTTAAAATTAGCACTGCGTGTCAGGACATTTCTATTCCTATTACAATCGATGTTTTCAAATTAAATATTAAAAAGTCACATATCTTGGTTACCTTTGTTTATTCGTTTCAAAATGAACATTTTCAAAAAGTTTTTAACAAAAATATCGAGAATTAAGAATATTTTTTCCCTTTTCATACAAAGATTGAGACACATACCACAATAATCAGAACGTTTTTTTATGATCCAATTTAACACTCTTACAGGCAAAAATGTAATGTCCGCAACGGATGATTTTTTCTCCGCCGACCTGTGTTACAATTTCAGTCTAGATCGTCCCTCGAAATGTGGGTCAGTTAGAACAACCCTTTTTTGCTTAAAAAAATTTTTTTCTCATCATTAAAAAAAAAAAACATCAAGCATTTCCCGTGCTTTCTCATCGGGTGCGACTAGTGACTGCATTCCGAAGTAAACCATGGTGCACTGCTGTCTCCCCCACCCCAAGCGAAAAAAAGTGTGATTGTGTGATGTGACAACAGTTCTTACAGCAGTTAACACATTCTTGTGCTTTCCTCATGGATGAACCAAGTAAATTACCCAATACTTGGTCGCAGAATACAGATACGTATTTCGCTATTCATGCTCAGCCAAGAGACTTTTAGAGAAGTAAGCCCTTATAACATTGTCTTCAAGCCAAATTACAGCAATTACAAAAATATATATACATGATCATAGTGCAAAAGTTTCCAATTGTCCTGCCAAAGCAAACTTACTCTTTGGGCAGATTTGTAAATTCCAGGCACTTGAACTTTTTCGATGATTCATTCCTAATTATGACACTTGACTATTAACAGATGTACAAAAACCTAAGAATCTCTTAAGCTAAAAAATACATTTCCATCATTTATCTATAAGGATAAAAACCTTAACATAGAGAATCAAACAACAAAATGATTCAGAAAAAATATATACAAGATATACAAGAATTTAAGTTAAAAAAAAAAAAATAAATTAACAAAATACAACTTATTACCCTAAACATTTGACAAACAAAAATGAAAGTATTATTTGAAGACTTAATCCCCTAAAGCTAAAAACTATTTTTGAAAAATAGAAACATGCTAAAATGACTGATATGAAAGCAATGTGGTTATCAAGAATATCCTCTGCTTGGCAGATGTACATTTAACTTTATGTAATAAATATCTGATAGAGCTCAGAGTCCACTGACTTGTGCAATTTACTTGTTAATAAATTATATATATATATATAAATGCCCCCCACCTGGCACTCAATTTGGAAATACTGAGAATTGATTATACATTTTTGTAAAATCATCTTTTAATTTACTAACCTTCCCTTTTCATTCTTCATTAAAATATTATTAATGCACCCATTGAAGAGGTATTTACAAAAGTACTGAATGAGCATTAACTGCTGACAAGCATTAGCTTGTTTAAGTCACAGCAATGTTTTTGATTTGATTAACAAAAACTTGTATTCCCTTTGTTTTCAAAGTGAAAGTTCTGAAGGGAGCTGTTGAAGAGAGACCTCTGTGAAATTCGGCCAAGGTTTACTGAAAATATTTAATAGCAAAACTGCCATTCCAAGAATTCAGTCATTCTGTTACCCACAGCCTAAGGTCTTTTGATAAGCCATTTTGTTACCCTAATGTTTATTGGTTGGTCCTCTTGTAACCTTGATGTTTATTGGCTGGCAGCAAGTTTCTGGAACTTTGGTTGACAAGCCTCCTCTGGAAAAGGGAGGTGGAAAAGTAAATAAAGCATTCATTTACTACAACACTATTTTATTGGTTGCCGTCTTATAAACTGATTTAGAGTGAGAAATTGAGAAGGAAAGCTCAAAGATATTTTGAAGTGCAAAGCAGCAGTTTTGAACACTGTAAAATGTTCAAATATATGTGTATGCAAGCATGCAGACACTTGTGTACTTGAATAACTCAAGTAGAGAAAAATTGCAAGTTGCCATTAACCCTCAAAAAACAAAAATTTAAAACAAAACTACAAAAGAAGTACAAGCAGTTCTTACCTTGCTGAACGGCTCCATCGCTTCTACTTTCTGCCATACTGCACATGCGATCTACAATCTCCCACAAGACCGTTTCCTTCGGGAACTCGTTGTCGACCAGATTGACGAGATAATAGTTGTCGTGAAAGTATCTAATCAGTTCTTGGGACCTGGATCCCTCAGGGTAAAGGTCAGCCCATGGGTTCAACCACAACATGAAGGCTTCGTCCTTAAAGGATAATGACATTTCAGTCAGTCGGCGGATATGGCAGACACGGTGCTGTTAACACCAGTGCAAGTAAGAGAATGGTTGGTATTTGTGGCTTATTTTTTAACATTAAAATAATCATTATTACTTGAAACAAAAATTAACTGCCCTACACTTATATGACATTAAGATATGTATAACTATATGTACAGCCTCCACCCGAGATATGAAATATAAGACAAGAAGGAAATGTCCATTTGCTCACATAAAGGAGGAGAGTATATGTATATATATAAAGCACTTATTTCAAATAAATGAATGGTTAAAGGGATAATAACTCTTCGTTTTGGCCAAAAATGAATTTTCCTGGAGTAAACAACAATTTTCCCATGCTTACCAATGGTTAATGAATCCATTTTTACATTCAAAGTTAGTCCCTGGTTTTTTTCTAAAAAGTTTGGTTTTTTGTTAAAATCTCTTAAGAGATTTTAACAGAGTATAGCCATCAATGGAGGTCACGTGGTCTGAAGACAAGCTCAGATATCAGAATAATAGCTATAACTGCTGTTTTTGTCATAAAACAGAATATATTATATTTCTGTGAGTTATTCACAATGTTTTTATTGTGAAATATAGACCTCATACGAAGAGTTATTATCCCTTTAATCATTCTCATTTAGCTTTGATAAAATGGCTTAATTAAAAATCTTTTATGGTTATCAATTGAATTTCTCTGTTTCCTGTTCAAAATTCCTGTAAAATTCATTTCAGAAGATCTATTCATTTAACAAGAATTTTCTCTTTATGGGACATGCATGCACACATATACACACTCACAGAAATAGGGCAACTATATAAAGCATACACATCTACACTCTTTCAAAAGTATGTTTCATATTTCTACAATTTATTATAACTAAGATTAACCCATTAACAGCTTTGTGGGCTTTTTATGATTTGTGATTTTGGATAGATTCTGCAAAGGGTTAATACTCGAAATCAAAAATTTTTTTTTTTGTGTGTGTCAGGCTAACAGTCATCAAGGCAGTGACAGATTTGACTGCAGATCTGCTTGAACACACTGACCACCAACCAAACTGACCAAGGAGAGTATGTCCAAGTTCAGATCTCCAATCATAAAAATAAGCCACTTGTAATTCATTTTAGTATTTTTTCCAACTTATATGGTGTGAACAAGGTGTCCAGTCCATTGAAACCGAATAATATTTTTTTAAATAAATAAACAAATAAGAAAAAATTAAGAAGTCAGGTGCTGTAATTAGATATCTTATGCCCATGTATTTTTAACAGCTGTTAATAAGGTTAATCCTTTACTAACTATAACTTTAATTTGTAGCATTGACATCCGAATACCTCAGTAAGAGCTGATGAGACATTGGATCATGTGACAGTCATGTGACAGCTGTTGAGTCATGTGACATGGCCATGGTGGCTTAAGCTGGCGGAGAGGCTGGTGTCAGCTCCTTATGACACAGACAAACACTGATAAACTAACAAACACCAGAACTTGCTCATACCATTTGATCCCACCAGAACATATACCACCTCTCACAAACAATACTTTGAGTGTGAAACCCATTCCTTTCTAAATTAAGTTATATGTCAGCTTTTTGCTAGAAGCCATAAAAACTTGCTTTAGGACCCTGCTGTAAAAGCTTTGGAAGGAATGTTCGATAATAGAAGCATATTTGCAGAATGATTTTTGGACCAATTTTGGTCAAAAGCCAAAAATCACTCATTAGACCAGGACATAAGGAAGGTTAGTTTTGAAAGTTATGCCCAAAAATAGTACTGTAAGTTATGATTTAAGCACACATTCAACAAAACCATCTTGCACCCCAGATGTCAAGATTACACACAAAAGTCACTTCACACATACAAATTCCTGGAATGTATCTGCATATTTAGTTAGCAACACCAACTGGGAAGCAACATACAAATACATTAAAAAATAAATAGATAAATAAATGTGTAAAATCAGAGGAAAAAACCCTACAGAACAGAGCATGTATAACAACATCAAAGTGTAGATATCAAACATAGACAAGAAGTCACAAGCTAAACTATGAAATTAAGAATCTATGTTCATGCAAAGATATCAAATTTAATGAATGTAAACATCACTTGCATATTCCTAAATCCTGTATAAAATTAAGAAATTTGCATAACTGGCCCAGTCTCTCAAGAGTGGTGAGAAAGTAGCTAAAATTTTCATGCAAGCAGTAAATTTCCCTTTATGTCCAAAATCCCCATACAAACAAAAATGTTAACAGAAATGACAGATGAACCTGAACCAAATAAGCACTACTACTAATGAAAAATAAATAAATAAATAAATAAAAAATAAATAAAAAGCAATCACAGACAAGATTCTGACTCTATTACCAAAATGTGGTAGTTGAGAAAACAGAAATATAGAAGCAATCTTTACCTTCCACGCCTTGAATGCTACAGGATCCACCACAGTTGGCTGGATGATTTCTCTCCCAGGGAACACTCCCCATGTTACAGCTATGGGCTTGTGTTCATCACAATTTGTGTAGTCTGCTTCGCCCTGAAGACAATAAATTATTTCCTAAGTCAGTCTGTGTTGAACTTTTAAGGCTACAAGCAAGTTGGAGCAATCAGGATCTAAGGGACAGATAAAAATGAGTTTTGCCAACCAAGCTGATGCACAGTCATTGATTTGATTTGATTTGAGATAATGTCACATTCATAATCAATTAAGTTAAATGAGAATGAAAACATTAAAAAAAAATGAATAAAAAACATATATAAATTTGCATGGAATGCACTTTATATTTCAAAGGGACAATCAAGACATGTACAATTGAGAAGATTATCTAATATCGAAATATTTTGTAGAGAAATGACAGTGTAGCTATGTCAGTACAAAAAAGTAAAAATCTTACTGTGCAGTTGACAATGTGGTAGTTGACCAGGGGATATTCTGGCAAAATTTCCTTCAAGCAATCAACTTTTTCTTTGGATACAAAAAATTCCAAATATGCCTGAAAAAAAGAAGAAAAAAAATGGAATTCATTTGAACAGGTTTCAGTAAGTCTTTAGTATAACTAACTGCTGTAAAAAGGTTCATACTGATCACATAGATATTTAGGAACATCAGTACAAGGTGCATAGTGTTCCAAACATTATATATATTTTACCTTGAAATAAATAAAAAATTCAGATACCATAGGAAAAGTGTAAATGCTCAGATACTTCTAGCAAAAACTCAAATCTGTTTAAAAAATAAGGGATTGGGGATTTTTTTCTTTTAAACAAAGCATAAAACATGAAAAGAAACAAGCAGTATTTGAAAAGTGATTTCAACAGGAAAGTAAAGACAAGACAAAATGTTTGTCACTGACCTGACCAACCGTTCACTTTTTTTTTTTTGGATGAACGACCCTTACCTTCTGGAAGATGTACCCATCATGGCTCCCCCATCCCACGGCAGGGTCTGTGGAGGGGACGCAGTTAATTCTTGGTTGAGAATTGATGGTCAGCACCCCTTTCCTGTTGATGGAGGCTAGTTCCGAGCTGATTAGGCTGGTCTCCAGGGT